ACTGATCCCGGGGTTCCCGTGCTGCTGCCCAGGGGGTGGATTGGGGTGACGACTCTGCCTGGATTCGGACTCGGATTCGGGTGTTTTTTTGGGTGGAACAAATGTGCCTATTTGTAGCCCGGCCGGCGGAATGCCTCCCCCCTTGGTGCGGTGCGGTCGCCTGCTATAAAATCCTGTGCGGAATGGACATTCGGACTTTTAATATGCTCGAGTAATGTCTGCATTAACAGAATTCATTTGCAGGACATGGCCAGCAGCCAGGACAACCCCATCCAGAGCTGGGCATATGTGTGTGTGTGTGTGTGTGCGTGTGTGGTTGGTGTGGAGAAAACAAATTTATGTCGTGCTACTTGCTGAAATTGGATTTCTGGCCGCTGCTCCCCTCGGTTGTTATTGTTGTCGTCACATCGTTGCTTTTTAGTCACCCGAAAGGGGGGAAAAACGGGGGGAGGAGCAGCTGGAAAAACAAAACTTGACCAACTTTAACAGCAACGATGATGCCAAGGTGGGCATTTGTTTCCATTCCGGACTTTAGTACGTGTAATCCTTTTTCATGATTTGCACGCCACTTCAGAGGACATTTGTCGCCCTTGGCATTAGTCTCAGGTTAGTCGTTTGTCGCCAGTCGCCCAGTCGTAATCAGGTTGAATGCTTCAATTAGGACACTGGCTCGGGATCCGTTTTCCTCGAAATTGGAATGACCTGGCACGTGTTTTTATTCTCATCTCTATCTATTTATTGTCTAATTTTAATGGACCATCGCTCGCCTCTCCCTTGCAGAATGGCAAATTGCCCAGGAGCCTGCCCGCTCTGCGTGCCATGGAAGTGGCTCTGCGTACCAACTCCTTTGCCACGCCCCCTCGGGTAGCAGTGGTGACCGAAGGAGGCGAAGATGGAAGCGATGCCGCCCAGGACATGGAGGACAGTGACGAGGAAATGGAGTACATGCCGCCGCTGCATAGTGAGTACGGGTGCACTGACAAAAACTATTGAAATAATTAAATGGAGTAAATAATAAATGGGTTTAAACTAGTCACTTTTAAAAATATGAATCCTAGGCATTGATAAAAATCCATTTTAGTCTTGGCAATAAGATACACACAAATATAAATATTGAGGCCACATGACACAGTGTATTATTTATATATTAATTCCACTGAGAATTCTTTAAATTGATAGCTTAAACCCATCTTGTCACATTTTTTTTTTTCTGCGTGCCAGAGTCTCTTTTTCCTTGTTCAGTGGCAAATTCAATTAAAAATTTTTGAAACTGCTCCACCTGCACGTGCGTGACGAGCTTCTGACGTCCAGCAATGATGGTCAGGAGCACCTGGCTACCATGCCGCCTGGTCCCGGGTCCTGTGTCCTGCGTACAGAGTCCTCCGTCCTGTTCGCAGTACTCCGTTGTCAGAGCCACTGTCAGGCGTTTCAATTTACTTTTATGTCTCGCAGCCTTATCGCGGCGCAAATTGAAATGAAATCTTGACACAATCAGCATGCCCATGCCACCGGCAGCTCAGATTCCCACATACAATTAAGTTAAACGCTGACCATCAATTATGGGACGGGCTCTAAGGCAGCTGGGTGCCGCCTGTCCGGCAATGGGCAAAGTTTGCAGCCCGAAAATTTATCCGTGGCAGGGAAATAGCAAGGGCGGCAAATAGACAAGGAAGGAAAGCGGTGGAAAAGCCCAGTCCAAGCCATGGGAAAGCGACAAAAAATTGTCAACTTATGCCAAAGTCCCTGCATCTCCCCGCCCAGAGGTTGCCCCGGATGCTGCTCGCTAAAGATGATATCAAAAACTTTCCTTTGCTTCGCTCCGAGAAGCCGGCTGCCGGCGAACAAAGCCGCAGCACTGGCAAATGGTCTCGGGATCTCCGTTACTCCCCTGTTTATTTATATTAATATTTTTATCATTTTACGAGGACTATACAAATGTGAAAGAAGGCAGCGCTTGCCTCATGACCACCTTGAGCCCGGATTGCGGCCAGAACTTTTCGGCCACAACTTAAATTCACTTTATTTAGTCGTTGTATGTTGTGTAACCGTATTAATCCTCTGCCTGAGCGCCATTTACATTTCATTTGTGCGCCCCGCCCATAAATATGATAGAATAATGAATATATAAATCAAAACGAGGCGAAGCGAAACTTTTTGTGCCCCGCCTTGTGTGGTTGGTGTTTAGCATATTATGTAATAAATCAATATGGGGATTTATGTGCTGCAGATTTTCCTGCTTTAATGCGAGTTCGAGAGTTAACTCTTTTCTGGCTTTTGGCTTTGACATTTGATTAGCCACATATGCACACCAGCGGGAAGAATTTAAGCCTCGTTAAACATGTACGCAAAATTCGTGTTTTAAATTCATGATGCCTTTGCACTATGCCTTTGAATATGTAATAACATAAATAGAGATTTTGAATATATAGTTTAATTTTATAAAGATTAAGGAGAAGATGGACTTTTTCTTAAATTTCCTGGCATTCTTTAATACAAATTTAACTGTCTGCATTTTTAATTTGTTTTTAACTGAGGAATTGCTCAAGAACGAAATAAAATTCAAGGGGAAATCCCCTTCGCCCTGTTTAAAAGCCCAGCGGCAGCAGCTGTAAGTGCTTTGCAGCTGTTCCAATTTTTAGTGTAAATAACCCCAGCAGCAGCCTTGTTTTTTTGTCCCCTGCTTGAGTTTTTCCCGCCCCGAATCGCCCCACCTGCCGCTGCTCCCATTTTACCCACGCTTTCCCTCTTCGGCACACTTGTCAATATGAAAATGTAGCTGCTGGGCCGCTGATGCCGTTGCCGTTGCATTTTTTTTTTTTTCGCTCACCTGAATGTTTGTTCAGTCGGAAAGTTTTGATTTATTTACGGCGCAAGTTTTACATTTTACACGACACTCGCCTCCAATTACATGCCGCTATTTCTCCGGCTGAACTCATTTGCACCCCGGCAGCAACCCTCGGCTGCGGCGCTGGAAAAGCGAGGAAAACTGAAATACTTTCTTTCGGATTTTAATCGCTCACGTGAGTCCTGCACTGCCGTGAGTGCCGGTGTGTATGCGAGAGTTGCTGTTTGTGTTTATACATATTTAGTCGCAGGATAATGTGTCGCCGAACTGCTATCCTTGTTGCTGTTTTACTTTCTGTTGCTCCTGTTACTTTTGCCATCGTCATTGACGTCACGGCCAAAGAGCTGCAAGAACTTGGTCATTTGCATAAAGCCTCAGCTTGAAAGCAGGATACTGGAATTCCGAAGGCGTTGATTTCCAGGAATATCTTACTTAACTGTTTTATAAAAATATAGTTTAAGTGAAAGATACCCAACATGTACTGCAGAATCTGTTAATCTTGTGCAGCTGCATTGAAAACTCAATTATTTATGAATTTACTCAATTAAATATGTCTTAGAAATCACTGTGGTTAAGCTGGCATTTACAAACTCAAGTCTTAAGGCACCTTACAGCTCAACCGAGGCCTGAAATCGATTCCCTTGATTAAACACGACTTTAAAAGGTTATTTATACATTTTAAGTTATGCGTGCGACACAAGTTTTTTGCGGCTTTCGCTCGGCTTAACCCCTTCTGCGGCGAAGGCATCGACCGACCCCCAACGCCGTGCCGTTGCATGCAACGTAACCGATATCTGTTACGCCATCGACGTCAGCCGAGTGTTTGTGTTTGTGCTGTGTTTGGGTTGTGTTTGAGCCTGTCCCATGAATATGCAACGCAGAGTTTGCCTCGTTATTCGGCCCTGTGAAATGGGAGTGGGTATCGGTTTCCGCTTTGCGGGAAATCGATCAGGAGGTCTCTTTGAGATTCCGTTGAGAAAGGCGTTTCACTGACAGAACCTACAGTTTGGCCCCCGTAAACTAAACCATCCTTCTAGGAAGTCATAAGTTAGTCAAACTTACTGGAATTAATTCGAAGGGAACCCTCAATATGACAGTCAAGGGTTCTAATTGCTGAAAAGAATTCTATTTGGAAAACTTATACTAGTTATGCCACAGCAACCGTATTCATCACCCAAAGTGACCTTGAAGAGCTGCGAAAGAAAGTCCGCTGCGGTCGCTCGCTGCTACTTGTCTGAAAGCGACCGAAAACCAGAACCATTTGCGACTCAGACTCGTCCCAGCCACTTTCGCCCTGGCCACTTTGCCTTTCCACATGGCCACAAAATGTTTCTCAGACGCTGGCCCATCGTCATGGAGGTCTGCGTCTAATACGCTTTCGGCGGAGAGTAACAGTTGCTAAAATGTTTTCCATTGTTTTCACGCTCAACAAAAGGCAGACAATTAGTTTTCTTAAACGACAAATCAAGTAGAAATTAAGTGGTGGCGGGCCAGGACGAAGGCGAAGGATACCGCAAGGAGCCGACTACGGCTGCTGGTTGCGTGGGTGAGCAAGTGGTTGGGGTGGCAGAAAGGGCGCACAAGTGATAACAAAACAAAAGTGGATTATAGGCTCTCGAGCGCACAAACAAAGGCATGTGTATATGTGCGAGGGCCTTTGTTTGTTTGCCTAGTGTAAAGCGGCTCAAAGGACTCTCTCTTTGCATAATGAGTTATAATGCGTTGCATGTAATCTATACTCGAAGCCTCTGTAAGCACAAGTTGAGGCAAAGAAACCTGATTCGGCGGATTAACAGAGCTGCCTAAATCCCTTGAAAGTGAAACATATAACACTCTTAGTTGCTATAAATCCTGTCAAAGCAGGGAAATTCCAACGCCTAGAATATCCTGGGCATTCCTCAAAAACACCTAGCAAAGACAGTCACCTTTTCGAACTTCCATTCGCGCATGCCTGAGAGAGAGATTTTCCCGCGGAGACTTCGGCCTACGTTCGGGCCACATCCTTCCGACGAGAACGAGTGGCGGGCGCTCGGGTGGCCAAAAAGGATTTCGGAGCGGCAGCGACGCCGGCAGAATAACGGTAAACGACAGGAGCGGTACGATGTGTTGACTATTTGTGAGCCGGACGAAGGCGCTTCGCCTTCAGTTTGAATTGTGTCCTCGTTAAGAAAGGATATTCGTTACATTGTTGTTAAGTTGTTATTATAATTTCTCAAACAAACCAACCAACCAACCAAAGCAACCCAAAAGCAAACCGAAAGCCAACTGCTCGCTAAAGAGAATTCAAAATATAAACCGAAAAGTAAGAAAAGGCGAAAAAGAAAATCAACGAAGTGAAATAAACGAAAGCCGAACCAACGTACAAACTAAAAACTGAAACCTAAAATAAACGATGATAAATAAAATTAAATAAAATAAAAACTTATCAATAATTTATTATTTTATATCGGTGGTAGTTTTATGGTTTTTATATTACTTGCAAATTTTAAATACTTAAGTTTCATGTTTAATATATTTTAGTGAAGATTTTACGAAAAAGTGCTTGAGATTTTTGTGCCTGGTTTCGAAAAGACTTTTGTTGCATAAATGTGTTAAGTGTGCTTACAGTTTTTGGTTAAAGGATGTGCCATGTGTGAGAATACCTTTTCGCAAACTTTTTGTTGCTTTTAAGACTCTGCAGATAAAATCGTTACGATTTAAAGATTTTTCGAAATGCTTAACCCCTTTCGGGTTCCTTGGTCTCATTGTCACCGCGGCGAGCATCGATTTTGGCCATATTTACATAGACAAACTCAACGCTTTTTGCGTGCATGTATTTTGTTGTGCTTGTTGTGTTTTTTGGCCACATTATGTACTATTCTATACTGTACGTGGCACAACGGCAACTACAGGCGTCTGCCACTTCGGCTTGTGTGCCACATAAACCGACAACGAGCAGCCAATAAATGCTGCCGACTGGGCTCCTATATAAAAAGGACACTGCAGCCGTGTGTGTGCTCCGAGTGTGTGTGATTCATACTTTCTGGCAGGCACACACACTCACAGAGCAGTCGCTCTGTCGGAAGAGGATGCCGTATGTATTTTGTATTTTCGGTGTTTGCCATGCATTCGGCGGCGTGCCCTGGCTTTCCAAATAAAAATAAAAATATAAGTTTATATTTATATTTATACATAGCATTTGTCTGCCAGAGTGTCCGTCCGTCCGTTCGTCCGTTCGTCCTTCCGCAGCTCCCTTACGCTATAAAAACCGGAAGCGTCTGATCCTGACACTTGCCAACACTTGGGGCGTACAGGGTGTCAGGACTCGCTTTGTTCGCTGCCACACAGGGATGCTGTCTTTGGGGGTCTGTCGTAAAAGCCAGGCTCGGTTTCTTGTGCGTGTTTTTTCGGCACTTGTATTCCGCTGCTTTTATTATTATTGTTATAATTTTTTTTGCTGCTGCCAAGCGAGCTGAGCTGTCTGTTTCTGCTTTTGGCACTTAGACATTGCGTTACGCGCACTTTCGATGTCTACCGCCTGTCGTCCGCGTTTCGCGCATAACTTTTTATTTTTTGTTGGCTCATGCTCGCTTTGTATGCGGATGCGAGCACACAAATCGTAAAATATTAAATTTAATTTTTCAAATGATGTGTGAATGGCTTAGTCCTGATATATGATAATGGCTGTGCGTGGGCTCTGCCCGCCCCATAAAAATAAGGCGAGTCGTCAGTTTTATTTACTTTTGCGCGCCTGGGAGAACTGTAATCACACTAGCAGCCAGCCGAGCTGCCAGTCATTCGGCGAAGTCAATTATCCTTTTTGTTTTCCCAGTGTTATGAGTTTGTTTGCTTATCATTTTCCGCTTGCGGAATATTTTCACTCATGCCCGGCCATGGTGGAAAATATTCTGACAAAAGTATTCTTTCTTATATACTCGTAGCGAAAAAAAAACGCAGAATCTCTCGCCTTGCGTGCTGGGTGACTCTGCCTGGGAACATAATTCAAAAACCAAATGAACTTTCCGAAAACAAATTTCATTGGTCTGTGATAAGTGAAGGTCAAGCAAAAAGCAACAAGCAAAAAGAAAATTTTTTATGAAAACTAAAAAGCAACCACAAACGACACGAAGCGGAACAAACCACAGAAAAGGCAACATTTTCCAAATTAGCAAAATTGTAGAAATTATTTAATGCATCAAATCGTTTGCGCATAAAACTCGACAGCAGCAGCGGCAACAGCAGCAGCAACAACAGTGCGGTTTCACACAAAAAGGCGGTCATTAAAACAAAAAAAAAAAAAAAAGAACCAAAACCGAAAACCTAGCCAAATTATAACACAATTTATTTATATCATCAACTGCAAGGCGGCAGAGCAGGCAGCAGGCACTTCATTAAGCATCAAAGCGAGCTGCGTGCAACCGCAAAACGTGCAAATTCCGCACCGCAGCAGCAACTAGCAACAGCAGCCACTAGCAACACGCAACCCAGCAGGCTTCCAGTGCAACTGTAGGCCGGAAAATGTTGGCTATGCCCACGCTGATGATGCCAGCCACTGCACAGATGACGCTGAGCGCCGCCCACGGAAAGTCCTACGAGACAAAGCTGCTGGCCATCCACCAGACTCACCTGCAGCAGCAGCAGCAGCAGCAACAGGCACCCGCCCCCCAGCAGCAGCAGCAGCAGCAACAGCAGCAGTCGCTCAACGGCAAGCAGCAGGCGCAGCAGCAGCCGCAGCAAATGACCATCGTCACCACGCAGCAGCACCAGCAGCAGCAGCATCCCCAGTCGCAGTCGCCGCACCAGCAGCAGTCTCAGCAGCAGGCCGCTGCTGCCGCCGCCGCAGCAGCCGCTGCAGCTGCCCATCACCAGCAGCAGCAGGCGGTGGCTGCCGCCGTCTGTGCCGCCCAGCAGCAGGCGGTAGTGGTGCAGCAGCAGCAGCAGTACCAGATCCACTCGCAGCAGCAGTCGCCGCAGCAGCAGGTGCTTAGCATCTCTCCCAAGCAGGGTAAGCAAAGGAATTTTGACTACATATTTATCATTAAATTTTAAAAATATAAATTATAAGCTTAAAGAAGTGTAGGTCAGAGACGAAACTATATATAATAAAACCACCCTAGTTTCCTATACTTATCTTTCAAATAATTTCCTTTCGATTTCTTGAGCCGAGGCCAACATTCAACGCTAATGTTAGTGCTTCCTGCGCGTAATTGTCATAATCGATACGATGATGGGGCAGCTAATAAATTTGCGACCAGACGGGGCAACTCCTTTGACGATTCCCTGATGGATGAGGGGCCCTGTCCGATCGAGGTGTGGGCCTGCCCCATTTGTTTACGAGGTCCTCGAACACTTTGGGCACTTATCGATTGGCTTTTATTGCCTGCCTACGCCTATGGCCGTGTCCTGGCCCCCATTCGACGTCCGACTCGCAGGTCCTTACAAATTTCACGAGTTTTACGAGCAGCTCGAGCAGTTCAAGTAATGCTTTTTATGGTTTCGTCGTAAAACTCGGCCAAGCCTCTAATAGCTGTCTAATGTTATTTGCCCTCAAAACGAGGCCCGCGTGTTTGTCAAAGTTTACGTTTTCACTTACGCTCTGCGAGTCCCCTCCAAGCACCAGAAAGCTAAACTAAAGACGTCGCCACGTATCCGTGGCCGTACAATTATGGAGCTACAAGGTGTCTGCCTTTGTTACCGTGCTAAATCAAATAGAAATCAATTTGAAATTATTGACAATTTCCACATTGGCATTGGCTCAGTCAATCGACTCGATTCGATTTTGATTTCGACTCTGATTCGGATTCGTATTCCCTGGTTTTGCCATAGTTGGCATTCTGACTAAACGAAAGGCAAACACAGAGCCACACATTCGCCTCGTAGGAAAAGAAAAACAAACAGACGGCGTGGGCGGGAAAGCAAATACCGGGAAGGAGGGGGCGTGGCCGTTGTCTGTCTGCCGCTGTTGTTTCCTCTGTGGAAAAGTGCACTGGGCAAACACGAGACGGTGGCCAAGACGAGACGATTCAGTCAAGTGCAGCGGACGACGCGGCGTATACGTAACATTTAAACGCATGTCCACACTTGACCAGTTTGTGCGAGATAGGGAACTGAGAATCGAACCCGAGAACCGGAGTTCCGGAGCTCCGGAGCTTTAGAGTTTCAGAGGGAAAAAGTTTGTTTCCCAAGTTTGCTGCCGTTGCTTTGCGGCAAATTTGTTTTTAAATTTGCCAAGCAGCGAGCTCGTCGAGTGTCTGCTGAAAATTTTCAATTGAATTCGTCGTTGGATGTAGAAACAAATTGCCAAAAGCGACTGACACAAGAGCGAAAAAAAAGTTGTAAGCAAACAGACAAAGGGCGCAGTGTACAGCGAAGTAGCTGAATTTGGCTTATAAAGTGGCCCGATGCGCTCCTCCCCCGGCTGCCGCTGTTTTTTGTGCCAGTGTCGCAACCGGCAAATGTCGTCCTTTGTTAAACTGTAAGGACGTTGACTGATGCGTTCGTCCAGGCGTTGGCACAGCTGCCAAGAAGCCCCGCCATTGTTGGTGGGCCAGCGCCAACTTTAAACAGGTGATCGATTTTTCTCGTAGTCACTCGGACGCACAAGTTTACCGGGCGAGAATTTAATAAAATTTTATTTAATGCCATGCGATGGGGGGCAAATTTAATCCGCTTGCAGGCGGCTTGCGACACCTATCATATATTAAATATATGGCATATTTAAATTAGGAAATAAATGCTATAAAGCGGAGCCCATAGATGGTAGATTATGGTTGATTTTGAAGCCTATTTAGAGCTGCTCCCCCATGGAAATTATTTTATTTCGCATTTTTTGCCGCGCTCCACCGATTTGCATATTCATGTTTTGGCCATAACGATATTTTTTGCTCAGCACGGCGATGCAATTGAATAAATAAGCATATTAAATGTTTACCGACAGCTGAAAAACTGAAAAGGCTAAAGCAAATAGTGGAAAATACCTGGTGCTTAAATTAGGGATTCCGCAGAGAGCCTGTACTACAGTGGGGAAAACACTATAAATTCCGCTGGAGAAGCAATTAAGCGACGTGTAATTAGGCTGATGCATTCAGAGCAGCAGCTCGGAACTTTTGCCGGGCAAAAAGCACACTTAAAGTGCAGAATAAATTCAGTTCGGCGTCTGCCGTTGAGTTAATGCATTTTCCGCTTCCATAGTCAGACACAAAGACCGAATCGTGTGCGAGTCGTGTCCTTCTGCAGTTTCCCCTTACCTCTCTCGCGTCCTGCGCTAATGATAATGCTGATGATGATGACGATTATTATTGGCAGGCAGTGCATTGCATGCCGAGTGCATTTTGTCAACCTGCTCGGCCGCTAACTCATCGCCCATTATCGTCATTATTGTGGCCGTTAAGTACGTTTGCCGCCATTATCGAGCCCCCGGCACCAGACCCTTCCCTTCGGTTATAATAATGCCTTAAATATGCCAGCAGCGTGCTCTCGAGCATTTCTTCTGCCAGAATGCCTCGGGGACAGGGAGACAGGGTGCCATTGCAGCTGCTCAATGGTTTCTAAAATTGAAAACTATATATCAATTGGCTAGGCCACGGCGATAGTTTGTCGGCCAGTCTGGACCGGAGGCTTCTCCTTTGTCTGGCTGGGGGCCTTCCAGCAGCTGCTGCTGGTCCTTGCTCCTTGCTGTTGCTCCTTTCTTATGGGCTTTCATTTATTTGCTATTAACCTGTCATTGTTCATTTTTATTATTGTGCGGTTTTTATGCTTCCTTTTTGCGCTTTGTCTGCCATTCTGCTGTTGTTGTTGTTGTTGCAATCGTGTCTCGCGGCATTTTCCGGCACTTGCACATGTGCGTGTGTGTGTGTGTGTGTCTGCGAGTGTCCCTGTACGTGTGCAATAAATTGTTATTATCGCCGCGTTGCAGCATGTCGTCGTCCTTCCGAAGGACTTCGACTTGTCCTCGGCGAGACCATGCAAAAGATTTATAACTTTTATTATTATTGAAGCTTATTTGCCGCTTTATCTGGCCCCGACTTCAGTGCCCAGCTCAGCCATAGTTTACGACTGGAAAATCAATCATACGCCATGTTTGACGCCGAGCATCACCCGACGTACATACGACCAGACGGGAGACGGAAGGAGGGGGCACTCCTCGCCTTCCTCAGGATCTCGATTCCGGTCATTGTCGTTTCGTATTAATTTTTCAACAGACCCGCTTGACACTCATTGATGTTGGCTGTCATTAAAGTCTTTGCCCCGCTGTCCATTCGCTGTCCACTTTGGCAGCGACTTTGTCTGGCAGCCTGGCAGCCTGTCAGCCTGGCAGGTGACGGAATGCAGCTTGGAGGCAAAGAATCCCCCAAGGATGCACTCGGGAAAATCACTAGTTGATTTCTTAAGACACTTTTTTCTTGTGACTATTTCCTTGGGAACCAAAGAGAGTACAAAAATAGGGTAATTCTGATTAAAATAAATTAAACTCATTACTTTCAAAGAGTTATCTTAAAAGTAGATCGTTTTCTTTTCTGTGTGCCAGAGCCCCATATATGGAACCTCATATATGTACCACCGGATGCAGAATTCCCCTCCGGGCTGGTCACTTAATTCAGTGGGAGGCGCAAGTTGGCCAGGGATTAGTATGCCAAGTGACGTCCAGCGGCTGATGCCTTGTTATTAAGTGGACGCTGCAGTTCCACTTCCACTTGCTGCTCTCGGACAGAGGCAAAACTTTTTACAAACGTCACTCCTGTCCAGCTCCTGGCGCTCTCCTCCGGTTCGTCCTTTCCCAGTTCTTGCTGGGCTCCTTTGTTTTTGCTTTGGTTTTTTCTTTTCTTTTTTGCTAAATGCCAGCAAACAACAAAAGCAGCATAAGGCAGTTTGGACAGCCGGGATGAGCATACAACTACGTAGCTAATACTTTAGCAGCCGGATTAGGTTCAATTGGAGCGGAGGCAGGGGCGGTACGGGTACAAAGGATAAGGGGGCGCAAAAAGAGGGACACAGGCTAGCCGTAAAAAAATCTCAAGCACAGTCCACCACACCACACACACATGCAGCGCACACCAGCAAAGCAGACGGAGAAAAAGTGGAAGGAATAAAAACTGTTGTAGCTGGCATTAAAGTTTAAACGTTGGTAAATTCCTACAGCTTCCGCTTTGTTGGACTTCACGACAGTCACTGTGGGGACAAAGGACCGCTTGACTGGACAAGGCCAGGTGTATGGATGGAGGTGGGCGCTGAATGGGAGGATGCTGGATGTGGCCACACAGGTGCGTCGATGTGCGTGATGGGTGCAAATGAAAGGGCCGATTTCAAAATCGATCAAGTTGCCTTTCAAAGAGAGAGAGAGTGAAAAAGTGAAAGAGGAGGGGTCCAAGGCAGAAAGTCAAACATCGTGTAGCAACTTGGTCTCTCTAGCAGCAATCCTTTAGATCGGCTTCTATAATTACATTTCTATTCATTTTTCTTTTAGAAATAAGAGAAATCTTGAAATTGGTTTGTAGCTTAAATGGTTTTTCGTTCACCTCTCGTTCCGTTCGGATTTTCGAGCCTGCTGAATACGCAAATAAAACCTGAACATTCGTCCTTTCCCCAAAAGCATTGCACACTTTTATGCGCTGCGGCCACAGATAAAAACGTTTGGCGGCGCATCATAATACAAGCGCACACAAGTGAGCATATGGTGGCACCATTGTGTTTGTTATCCTGCGGGCACAGTATCCACACGGTTCCAACCACACGACGATGGCCGCATCCCAGGACTCGTAATTCTGCAATCGTCAATCATGATCAATGTTTTATACACGGCATTTTTAAACGCCATCCAGCCAGTCGGACTCACATGCAAATGTCTGCTGCTCTTCCTGTGGAAAAATCAATACTGGCCGAGGGGCTTTAAGGTTCGCTTCCACGGGGTCCACGGGTCGTCCAGAGTCGAGGTCAGCCGGGGGGGTCAGTGAGCGGCTCCTGCCGGGCAGCCATTTTGGCATTCGGGTCGCTACGGCCGGCGAGAAC